CCCTAAAACCCTAAACCACTGAAACCCTAAACTCCTAAACCCCCTAAAGCCCCAAACCCTAAAACCCTCACACCCAAGGCTTTAAAACACCCCAAAGAACAGGCCGCAAGAGCCTGTGGCCTCCTGTGTCGTTTTGGGCTCCAATCTCCTTCTGGCTTGGCTTCAGCGTCTGGCAGCCTGCCAGAGGGGGAGCCTCAGGCTTTTGGTGTTTTAGGTTTCATGGTTTTAGGGTTTAGGGTTTGGGGTTCCGAGCTTTATGGTTTTAAGGTTTTTGGTTTTTGGTTTTAAAATTTTAGGGTTGTAGGTAGAGCTTCGAGTTTCTTGGTTTGGGGCCTAGGGTTTAGGTTTTCAAGGTTGTAGCGTATATGGCTTTGAGGCAGAAACGGTGTGTTCATAGACCCTAAAGGAAAGTCTGATGGACCCTGTCTGCTTTGGCCCTATTCAAGCCCCATGCGTCCGTCCTTGGCATGGCAACGAACATTCCTCTTGAGGTCCATTTCGTAGCTTCACAAAAATGGGGGGGGGATCCCAATATAATCCTCCAAAACAGTAGAGTCCTCATTATTAGGAGCCCTAAAATGGTAAAGCTGTATGCCCCCAGGCGTCTATCCTTTAGCCCCCCTCTAGGCTGAACCCTAAATCCCAAGCCAAAATCCTAAGCCCTAAGCCTAGAACCATGGGCTGCTTCCCGGCAGCGCCCTCGAAGCTTGTGGAGCCATCATCCCTATGTTGGCCCCTGCTGGGCCACTCCATGATGGATGCTGTGGCCTTTTAGCGTTTCAAGGAAATTAGCAGCAGGGTGAAGCGCTTACGATTCAGGGTCGAGGATTGAGCGCTCTGGTTAGGCATTTGGGCTGGTGCCGCTGGTAGAAGGGTATTTGCAAAGGGATTAGAAGAGACGACTGGGCCGATGACAGCAGATTTGTAGCAAGTAAGCCCATCCCAGATAATTCAGCCAGGCCCCACCCAATAATGCCAAGTGCTCCCTAGACAAGACTTCAATGCATCGGGAGACATATTTTGAATTAGGTGTGGTTACAGTATAGTACTTAGGGAAACGCTTATTTGGTTGGGGCTTTGGGATCATCATAGGTATCATGGGCATATTCGGGCAAAGAGCAGCTGAGCACCAAGCAGTTAAGGGTGCTGTCTTGCTGTGTGCTGCAAACGCTGCTGTAACTAGATGGTGCCCAATGCGGTCACCATTTTTTTGATGCGAACAGTATGACTTGTAGCAGGATGGACAGGAATGCGGGTTTGCAGTGTGAACTGGAATTATACGTCAAACTCCAAGAACCATTCGTGCGCTACTCAAAGCTTCAGTCAGTAGACCTACTGGTGGTTAGTATTGAATAAGGTTATGTTGAATAAGGTTATGTAATCCCTATATGAGCGAGCCGCTATATAACATATTCCTTCATCCCCTACTAACCGACCACCATCAAGCAAAGTATGTAATTGCGGTTGATGCAGGCAAGTCTGCAGCCCTGCTTCCGACCCTGACTGTTTTACACTGCGAGATTGTTTCAACCCTTCACCCTGTGGAAGTCCGAAGAAATTTCTTCGGCAGGGTTAGAAATCATTCCTACGTTTTACTACCCTTATCCCCTATATAATCCTCATGAAGCAATAAAAATTGAACTTTTATAGGGCCCCAAACCTACCCTAGGAAAGGTTTCGTGGGGTTGCTACATGAAGGGAGGGAACAACAGAACTGGTACTTGAGAGCTTGCGAAGGGCGAGCGTATGGGGTTTCTTTGCCTGGTCATCGGCTAAGCGCCCTAAAGATGAACGCGAACGCTAGACCCTCAAATGAGAAACACCCAAGACTTACTGGGGATTAGTAGGGAATAAAGGAAAATAACCCCATCAAATTCTCTGCGTAACATATTCCCTTTTTCCTGATTAGCCCACCAATAAGAAGAAGGATGCATATGTGGACCTCTGGAACCTTTGGAGTGGACGCGCCCTGGCCTCAGACGAGAGTTCTGGGTGTGGTGTTGGCGGCTGTGACCAAAACGGTGTCCGTGGTGGTGGCGGCGGCGGCAGCAGTGGTGGTGTCGGTGGTCCTGGTGATGGTGATGGTGGTGATAGTTGTGATCGTGGTGATGGTGGCGCAGGTGGTGGTGTGGGTGTTTGTGATTTCTACTGCTGCCACTGCCAGAAGTGGCCACTCTTTTTCACAATTGACATGACCGTTGTTTTTCTTTATCAATGAGCTCCCAGGTCCCGAATCCAATCACATCCTGGATCCTAGGCGATCCTCTCCAAGGGGATTGATCTGATGCAGCACATCCGCGGGACACTTCAACAGCACAACACGCGCCTCGGTCTACTTGCCAAAATAATGGGGTTTTAGGACCCAAATAATGGGGTTTTAGGGCCCAAATACTATAATATTAATGGCGTTTGGGGCCTAAACCCTGCCAGTTTCTTAACGCTCGAATTTTGGGGCGCGTTCTTTCGGTTGCCTGCTTGGATTCAGGAAGTAGGCGGCGCCCTCATACTCAGAACCCCCTACTTACTAAGTCCAACCTTCAAGCATAGGGCTTAGGGCTCAGAGTCTAGGGTTTAGGGTCTAGGGTCTAGGGTCTAGGGTTTAGGGGTTTAGGGTTTAGGATTTAGGATCTAGGGTTTAGGATTTAGGGTTTAGGGGCCATTAAGAGACAGCGCATAGTGATTCTAAGGAGATCCCAAGTGTGGCTCTAGAACTCACCGACTTTGTCCTCTTAGCATATGTACCATAATCTAAACTCCTTAAAGGGGGGGGTATATGGGATTATATAGGGTTTAGGGTCTAAACTCCGGGACTACTATCGGGGTTCTTAAGGGGGATACTAGGAGTCTAGATTATGGCTCATATGAGCCGTAGTCTATGCCTACGCTTCTAAAAGGTGGAGTATATTGGGCTATTATAGGCTAAGGGTTGCGGGTTTAACTCCATAAAGTGGGGGGATATAGACAGTTATAGGATTTAGGGTTTAACTCCTTAATGTGGGGAATATATATGGGATTACCTAGGGGATTATGTATAGGATTTAGGGTTTTATTCCTTCAAGTGGGGGTTAGATAGGAAATTATGTAGAGAGTTATGTACAGGATTTAGGGTTTAACTCCTTAAAGTGAGGCGTATATATAGGAGGTTCTATAAGGGACTATGAAGGGGAATCATAGGAGTTTAGACAATGGCTCAGATAGCAGTTCCATAAATAGGGGCGACCCCTTGTAAATTGCTTAGGTTTAGGGATTAGGGTTTAGGGTTCAGGGTTCAGGGTTTGGGGTTTAGGGATTAGGGTTTGGAGTTTAGGGGTTATGGTTTAGGGCTATATTGTCCCCCTATAGTGGAGAATCAAGTTGAAATGAAATTGGTAACTGGGGGAGTATAGGGATTTAAGGAACTCAGATTAAGCTACCACAATGGGTATATACAGTAAATAATAGGGTTTCCCAATATAGTAACTTGAATAAAGTTCCTTAACAACCCAGCTTATGTACGTATGGTACAGGTACACTTCCAAAAGCTAAGCCCCTCTTCCTTCGAAAGGCTTCTGAAGAAGTTTCCCAAACCAATCCCTATAGAATGCCTCCATGGGGACCTAAACCCTAAGCCCTAAACCCCAATGTGTTTCCTTGGGGTTCCCAAAGAAGTGGGCAAATTTTATCAAAGCCTGGTGGGAACCTAAACCCTAAACCCTAAACCCTAAACCCTAAAGCCTAGACCCTAAACCCTAAACCCTAAACCCTAAACCCTAAACCCTAAACCCTAAACCCTAAAGCCTAGGCATCTTTGGCAGTTGGCGGCACTTGGCATCTTGTTTGCGGTGAGAAAACCTTTAGGATGCTTATGGCTTAGGCGTTTAGTCATTTAGGGCTTGGGAATTTAGGGTTTAGGAGTTTATCAGTTTAGGGGTTTAGGGTTTTGAGGTTTAGGGGTCTAGGGGTCTAGGGGTCTAGGGGTTTAGGGTTTAAGGGTTTAGGGATTTGGGGTTGAGGGGTTTAGGGACGAGGGTGTAGAGTGCGGTCTCTAATAACATATTTAACACATAAGGGTTTGCATTGAGGGGCCCTCAACGAATCGCATAACAGTACTTATAATTCAATAACTACAGCATATTGAATTAATTGCCATGCTTATGTGGAGGGCCCTTCCTTGTAAAGATGCAAAAACATGTGTAATTCTGGAAATGCTCGGTCTCTTTGTGTGGTCAATTTCACGAGGACTGTACCCTTTTGGCTCTAGAAGCGCCATGATATTGAGAAATGTCTACCAAGATTGAGATCAACTTTTTGTTGTTTCTGCTTGTAGTATTTCGGGATAATTACATTGCCTGCGATTGGGGCAATGGGGCCGAAATCTGAACATGACCGCTGCGCTGTATTTTTTCCCTTTAGATATTTCCCGGCATGTGCGCGGCGTGAAGAAGCTCATTCTCTTCGATGGGGGCAGATGTTTTGGGGATAACAGTTGAGGGATACGGGGATGAAGTTGCTGCAGGTGGGAGAATCGGTTGGAAATTTGCTAGAGAACTAAACTGAATGAATCCAACAAATAGCAAACCAGAACAAAAATAAACAAATTAGGAAACACAACAAACAAAGAACAGTCAAACACTTCAAAACCAAACGGGAAAACGAAGAGCAAAGCGGAAAACCCAACACCATCAACAGCAACAACAAGTTCTGGACTTGCCAAGAACCATCCATTCCATGACTTCTGGAAGTTGTGTTTGTGTTTGGTTTGGTGTTTGATACCGATTGGTTTCACTACCATCTAAACTTGCTGTTTTGGTTGTTTGCTACGACCGAACGTTAGGATTTCCCGACTGGTCTCCAAATTGAAGGAGTCTCGGAAGACGTGTTTTTGTTTTAGTTGCATTTTACACTCCTTCCAATTATCGTGTGTCGCATTTCACGCACTTGAATCCCCTGGCCTACTTAGATGATTCAGCTAATTTGGAAATAGAAATAGCATGTGGTGTCAATCTTAGCATTGTAATTACTCAAGCCTACTGATCTGCTTACGTAAGTTTTGAATTGGTGGGAGTGATATCTGGTTTACCAGGCGTTACCTCTAGCTTCAGATTCCCCCCAGAAAATCATTGCATTACTTGAGTTCATCTACGTAACTAAAGTAGTGGAAGCAGCCCTTACTTCAAATAATCAAGCTGTTCAGAGTATTTAAGCGAGCCAAAGGATAAAAACGGTTGGAATACGGTGGATGGAGGAAATCTTGTGCCATTTAGGATCCCCAAAATAGTGTAATAATTAGGGTATAGGGTATATGAGGTGGTGCAAGATTTCCTCCATCCACAGTAGCATCCTCATAACACAACAAAGTGCCTGCTCTACCATCTAACGTGTTGATTTATTTAGACAACTGAACCCATGTAATTGGGCCGAAATCCTCCCAAACACAGCTAGGCTTAAATTGTGAATTTCATCATGTACCACATTTGTTCCATGCAGATCATTTTGCAACAGTCTCCAGATGCCACAGGATTTACTCTTTCTTAAGAAAATATTTGTACAGGCCGAGAGCCAGTTTAGCGTTTAGGATATTGATGACAGTCCACCAAAGAGATACATTGCATACTGGCCCCTCTCATTAACAGCCGGATTGTATTCATGATGTAGTGACAAAGAGCCCTAAATATGACACCTAATATAGATTGTGAATGGGTGGGGGCAGGACCCAAGAGACCCTAAAACCTAAAATCCTAAACCCTAAACCTTAAACCTTAAACCCTAAACCCTAAACCTAAGAGACCCTCAACCCTAAAATCCTAAACCCTGAACCCTAAACCCTATACAACAAGTTGATTGACAAAATCAAGGCCAGGCCTCTATTATTTGCCCCTGACTTATTTTGAAGGGTGTAGGATTTAGGGTTTAAGGATTATTGGCTCCCTGACTTATTTGCATAATTTGGTAGGGTTGAGGGTTAGAGTTTAGCATTTGGGGTTTAGGGTTTCGGACTTTAAAGGAGACAACTTAGGGCGTTTTTATCAGGGATTCTCTAGGCAATTATATATGCGAGGGTTATTAAGGGGATACTGGGAGTCTAGACTGAATAGTTCTGTTAGTATAAGTCATGAGTTAGGTTTCGTCTGCACTGCAATGACGGACTTCTCGGCAGATTGCAGGATAAGTTGTTGTAGGCATACCTGAACGAATAAGAAGCTTGGGATGCACCACGCATGTAAGAAAATGCTTGGTGACTTTATTAGTGGTTAGTAGGGAGTAAGGGAATAGAATCCCAATAAAATCCCTATATCACATACTCCCTAATTGCCTCAGATCTAAAACCTCAACCCTAAGAGAATGCTTGATAACGCAATGGCCATGCTCAGGCGGTTTTCTGCCGCCTTAAAACCCGGAACCCCATAAAGAAACACCCCAAGGAGAAAATGGCTAAGCTTAGGGGAGCGAGCCCTAAGCTCCGAACCCTAAGTCAGAATTCGAAGCCTTAAAGCCTCAGCCTCTCCCCCTACTAGTAGCCACCTTGCCCCCCCTAACGATAGATACCCCAGTAGAGTCACAATGGGACTACATTGAATGGATGTTTGGGGGGGTGAGGAGGTCCTCCTTTAGGGGGAGAGGATACCCAGACCCCTGGGAGGATCTGAAAATTAGATCCCCTATATAGACCCATTATATATATATATAGTCCTTATATAACTTCCCCTATGGTTCTAGGGGATCTAATTTTTTGATCTTTTTGGGGGTCTGGGTAGCATTCAGAGCCCTCTAAACCCTAAACCCTAAACCCTAAACCCTAAAACCTACACCCTAAACCCTAAACCCTAAAACCTAAACCCTAAACCCTAAACCCTAAACCCTATCTTTGCTTTAGGGAGTCGGCTCTGGCGTGGTCGTCCCAATCTCCGCTTGGGGGCATATTTCGGAGAAAGGCAGCAATGAGAAATGGGGGTGTAGGGTTTAGGGTTTAGGGTCTAGGGTTTAGGGTTTAGGGTTTAGGGTTTAGGGACCCTAAGGTAGATTGAGGTGTAGGGGTAGAGCTTCGGGGTTTAGGGTTGTAGAGTTTTGGGGTTACGGATGTTGAAGGTGGAAGGTTTCTGCGGGTAAGGTATCGAGCTTCAAGGTTCGGTCGGCTGTAGAGACTTTAGGAGCTTGGGGTTCGGGGTTCATAGGTTTTGGTCTGCAGAGCTTACGGCAGAACATGCAATACAGGGTAAGGCTTAAAAGTCAGACCCCAGGGTTTGGGAAATAGGGTTGAGCGTCTAATGTAAGAAGCCTCAATCATTCTCAATAACGTTTCCTCATGACCCTCAGCTAAAGAATCCAGCATAGCATACCGCAAAGCCTTATTTCAATCATTTAGGCCCTTACAGTCGTGCTTAAATCCAAGTTTGGACATTAATTCTGGTTTTGTGTCAAACTTTTTAGTTTTGGCTTTCTGCTTGGGTCTGAGGGTCTAGGGCTTACATGGCTCGGCTAGAGGTGTGGCCATATGACTTCCCGTGTCTAAAGTTTAGGTGCTGGCGGGTACAAGGATTTGGGAGGCTTCAGGGTTTTAATGTTCAGGTTTTGAGGGTTTGGGGTTCTATTTTGATGGGCTAGAGGATGCCTACGAAAGAAGTAGGTTGGGTCTTTCCCCCTCCCAGCAGCTGTCCTTAAGGGGGCTTTATGAGGGGGTTATTATAACTTCTACTACCTGTGTGGTAGCTGTCACTGTAAGCAGGACAAGCCCAAGAAATAGATAAGTTTTGTTGAAGTGTTCTTCAGGGCAATGGTTCCATGGGTGAAGATTGCAAAGTGTTTGACTTTGCTTTTGAACTGCGAAGAGGATGTCATGCCTTTGCACAACCCCTACCGGCACGGCCTCATTGCAAACTGTGCCCAAACGTCACCCTCACTGGACTTGCCCAATCTCCAGCTCTCGTATGCCGGCTCCTATGCCGAACAGACAAAGAAGAAGGTTGAAGCCCAAAATTCTCAAGGCGAGCATCCTCAAACCCTAACACCTAAACACTAAACCGGTCTAAATCCCCAACACTCTTTTTCGTAACCCCTGAGAAGGAAGCCCACCAGGTACCACACCATCTCTGGCATCCTTCAGACTTACTGTCATACCTGTGGGCGTGAAGCAGGCGCAGTCTACGCGGAGGCCGGTCTCTGCGTGTGGAGATAATGGGAGCATTCTTGGGACCCCAGGGATATGTAGAGAGATTGTGAGGTGATTGTGGGGGCCCTCCTAGGCGACAGGCCCTCATGTGGCTTCGGAGTGTCTGGGTTTTCGGTTAGGGACAGAGGTGTTTAGGGTCTAGAGTCGTGGCTTGGGGTGTAAGGCATCACCAGCAAAGCAGCTGAACTGCCATCTTGGCATGGTTTATGGGTTTCTGGTCAGGTAGAACTGAAAAGAGGACAGGCTCTTGCTGCGATTTTCATGAAAGGTTATGAGTTATGAGGCTATGAGTTATGAGGCTACCTTCCAGTCCTTGATTAGGACGCCCTCTTATCGTTTCTAGCTCTGAAGAACAGGAATTTGAGGTTGAGGGCAACTTGCGGTTGGTCATGGGCACATTAGAGGAATCTAGAATTTAGGACTCGAGTTTTGAATTTGGCTACTTGGAAAGGAGCATGGGGGTGTCGTGTCACAACATGATGAAGGTCCTCAAGAGCCCAAGCGGTCATTTCGCAAAAGCGTCCCCATATAGTCCCCATACTCCATTACTTCTGGGCCCCTAAATTCTCAATCCTAATATCTTTGGTCCCTGAGGGTACCCCTATCTTGAGAAATCTCAAGTCATCCTGACATGAGGTTGGAGTCTTCGAGGGTGCCCCTTGGCCTTTGAGGTGTAGTTTTCCGCAGACGTAGATGTCTTAAGGACCTTCGCATCTCACTACTAGTGGTTACGGTGGGGATTCATGATATATGGGGACCTTAATATATCTAGTGTACCATGATCGACCTTCCCAAGCCCACCGAAACCGCCTAAAGCCCCAACATCTGCACCCTAACGCCCTAAAAACCTAAACCCTCAAGCCTAAGCCCTAAACCTTACAGCCCAAACTCTAAGCCCTAAACTCTTGAAGCCTGAGCCCTCAAGCCTAAACCCTAAACTCTAAACCCTAAACTCTAAACCCTAAACTCTAAACCCTAAACTCTAAACCCTAAACTCTAAAACCTAAACCCAAAACCCTAAACTCTACACCCTAAACCCTAAACCCTAAACGCTAAAGCCTTCAAATCTCAAGTGACTCAGAGCCGAGGACACGCCGCTACACCTGGCCAAAGTGGCTCTGCCGTCGCTAAAGGCAGGCTGAGGGTTTAGGATTTAGGGGTTTGGAGTTTAGGGTTTAGGGGTTTAGGGTTTAGGAGTTTAAGGTTTAGGATTTGAGGTTTAGGGTTTAAGGTTTAGGGTTTAGGGTTTGGGGTTTAGGATCTGAGGTTTAGGGTGTAAGGTGTTGGGGTTTTGGGTTTGGGACTTAGGGTTTTGGGTGTTGGTCGCACTGTTCTTTTGGGCAGGCTCCTCTTGCAGGAGGGTTTTGGGTAGACATGTTTTTTGTTTGAGGTTCGGTTTCGTCTACCGGGGTCCTTGTCCTACGTGATGACATTTTGACTCCCAGGCGTTCAATTCCAAACTGCCCCAAAGCTTCAACCCAAAATCTTCTTAGGGTTTAGGGTTAATGGCAAACCCTAAGCCCTAAACCACCCTGAAGCCCAAACCCTCAACTCAGATCCCTCCGAACCCAAATCCTTACCCGTCAGGAGATGCATTTCATTGAGCCAGACCCCCGCTACTTGCAGCTTGCAGGCATGTGTCCAGTTGCTTTATATTGCTTGTGGTGGAAGGTATTGGGCTAATGGGGCTTTGTTGGGTTCTTTGGGGGACATGTAGGGGTTGCCATACAGGGCCAGACTCCAAGCTTCCCGAATCCTGAGAAATACATTGTTAAATAGATGACAGATGCAAAATAGTATCTGGTTGGGATATGGTAGCAATCATGGGTGGCAATTGTTGAAGAGCTGGTGTGATAAAAACGAATCTTCTTAACACACGCCTTGCAGTGGTCTATCAGATAATGACGGTTGCGATGATGGTTCTGATGCTCCCATTTCCCTACGGAAACTTTGTGAGACCTGACCTGTTGTTGAATCCCTAAACCCCTAAATTCCTAAACCCCCCTAAACCTCCCAAAAGCAGTCCCTGCAGGTGCGCGAGTAGCAGAAGTGTCACGGGCGCAGCGGTGGACTAGCTGCTTCGAGGTCTATTCGCCCCTGAATCCAAACACACTTGCTGCGCATCCGCCCCAAAGCAGCGTGCTGTGGCAATCCGCGACATCTCGCTTCGTGTGCCTGGAGCCCACTGCTAGGTGCAGGGGTGTGGTATATAGCTGAGTAAATAAAGCCTGAGATCCCCATAGCAGGATTTGTCCATATCTCCCTTGATTCTGCCGCATCCTGCCCTGCCAGGACTGAAGGAAGCGTGTTCCTTCACCTCGCCAATGGGACATCTGCCTCGAAACGATTCTTGCTGGTTGTTAGTAGGCACTAAGGGAATACAATCCCTATATAACCCCTACATAATCCCTATATAAAAGATTCCCATATTCCCTACTAACCCCCTAAACCCCAAACCCTAAACCATATTCCCTACGAACCACCAGTAAGGATTCCTTCCTGGCAGCCTCGACGTGGTTTTCCTGGATGCGACGTCCGGAAAATTCCAGCTGGTGCTGCAGCATCTTGATAGCTACTGGGTTGCTGTTAAGACACTTAAACTAAGTTATCATAATGGGTGTATAGGGGTATATATATACATATATATATATGGGGTATATATAGGGTATATAGGTATAAAGTTAGGGTTTAGGGCTACCATATTGGGTATATATAGTAAAGAATATAGTTTATCCAATATACTAACTTAAACTAAGTTCCTGAACAGCAACCCAGGCTATTGGGCCTTGCTCCGCAATGGCGGCATCCTTCTGGGACATGACTTCTACCACGTCCACGGGCGCTGGCAGGCTTTCAACGACATTGTTGGTGCCGCTGCTGCTTTTGCGGTCCGGCATGGACGCCAGCTGTTCCTTGCTTCGGACCAGCTCTTTTGGCTTATAAAGTGAGGACGAAAAGAGCGCATTTTCCTGATACTGCATTATGATGAGATACTAGTGTTATGTGGTTATGTGGTGTGATATTTCATTATACTATCTTATCTTAGATTATATTAGAATATTTTCGAATATATTGAATTAGGATCTATGTTCTGTTATATTGTTGAGACATCTTTATACTGGATGAAAGCCACGGCTTTGCATTAGGGACATTGGGGACATTTAGCCCGTCCCATTTCAATAGCTTCGCAGGGGACATGGTTTAAGAGGCTTCTAGAGCCCGGTATATGGAGTTGTGGGGCTGATGCGGGCATCTGGGCAACAGGGCCGAGATCACATACCACACATTATACCCTAAAAACCCTAAACCCCAATGGATCTACATAGGTATCAAAAGTCTTGGGTTCAGGGTACATTGTCCAAGATATTCACCAACAAGTGGTTAGGTTCATTCCTATTTTTGCAGTTAGGTGCGACTTTTTAAGTCTTTGGTGGGCAGGCTACCCATGGCCCGGAGTATGAACGGCGCGGTTTAGGGTTTAGGGTCTAGGGATTGGGTTTTAGGGTTTAGGGATTAGGGATTAGGGATGAGGGTTTAGGGTTTAGGGATTAGGGATTAGGGATGAGGGTTTAGGGATTAGGGTTTAGGATTTAGGTTTGAGGGATCGTCTAGAGCAGGTTTCTTTGGGAAAATGTAGGGGTTAAGGCTTAGCTCATTCCCTGGTAGTGCGTAAAGATTGCAAGGGGCCTAGGTAAGGCTTGTAAGAGGGGATGCAATGAGGGCATCCTCTGACCATGGCCCTCCTAAGGGAGGACCTCCCTAAACCCTAAGCCCCTTACAGTTTCAACCAGGAGCAGTGTCCTGTATTTCTAACTCAACGCCCTCTACCGCCCCATCCGCTTCCGTCCAAATTCGCAGAAACCCTCGAGACGTTCTACTTCCAATCGAAGTCCAACGTCTCTCAAATGTTGTCGCATTGTTGAAGCCGCACCCCCCCCCCCCCCCCCCACCGTCGGTGGACAATCCCGCATCACCCTTCATGCTTAAACCCTGAGACTTCTGGCAGTATGCTACACTTAGGATCATTCGGGGTTCTAGCCATCCACCATATAGCAGCGTCCTGGCAGGCGAGCTGATCAGGAGGGGCAGCGACTCCGGCGGAGGTCGCTCAAATCGGTATCATTACTGGGTTTAGGGTCTCTGTAGGTTTTTTATTGTTTGGAGCCGGTTGGGGTTTAGGGGCTCAAGCAGTAGCACCGGAGCCAAAGGATTATATATTCAGAGTGTAAGGTAGTGACCCCTGACTATGTCTCTCCATGCACAGCTTATCATTTTCCGGGAGGATGTGGGCTCATTTAGGCTTATGCCAGGCCGTCCAGGGTTTGTTAAGGTGTAGGTTCAGGATTGAAGTTTGGGGTTGCATCTACAGGAGCGAGAAGTACACCCACAATGTCATTAAGATAAGGTTTTCAATGTTGGGTGCCTTGTTTTGGGGCAGGGCTCTAGCTTCGGGTAGCTGCCAGGTCAAAGAGTTTGGGCTCGGGGTTTAAGTTCGATCTTGTGGCTTGTGGCGAGGTTGCATTCAGGGGGAAACCCAGAAAGCAACAGCCTCCACAGTAGCAATGCACGCAACAGAACGATAGATTGAGAAACAGAAGCGGCAGTCCCGAAAGCCTGAAGTCCCAAGTCCCAATCCTTGAGCGCCCTCCGAAAGCCCCTCAACCCAAACTGCAAGCTTTTCAGCTGCTAGACCCTAAACCTTAAACCCT